AATAACTCCACAAAGTACAACAGGAGAACCACATGCAGAACTGATGTTCTGCCGTAAACTGAGAATAAAACTACCACAAGTAGAAAACCTACAAGAAGACGTGTTTGACGAGGGAGTGCGTGATAAAGATGTGTATTCAAAATACAAAAACAAACTTAATATTGACGAGAAATGTGATTGTGATTTAGAGCCAGGAGATTAGTCGTTTTGAGGAAAACAGTCAATGATAAAAAGGATACTACGTATAGAACCGTATAAATTCGTACAGAAAACTGGAAGCAGTTGATAGATTGCCGGAGGGACCTTCCGTTGAGCGAAATAGTGAATTTGTTAAAAAATTTCATGAACTGAATAGTGCATCTGATATTCCAGAGACTCCTCGTGAACGGATCATTGTGCCTACTTATAATGGTGACAATTTTCCGTCTTCAGTTGCACTAGCTCCGAAATTTGGACCAGAATTGAGAAGTTCAACCCGTGTTAAGAAATAACCGCAATGTTTTGAGGACTTTGAAATGTGAAATGTATTTCTGTGTGAAAGAAGCTGTATATCTGAGATGAAAATAATGGAATAATCTGTAATAACTGTTTAAAACTTGAGGAGATTTCAAAGATTTTCTAGGAATATTTTGGACAGTAATCTTTTTATGTAATTGATTTATTTTGTGATTTGTAATGGTTTATTCAAGGAAAAGGGGGTATTGTTGTGTATTGATTACCTAAGGTAATTAACCCTATGAGTTCTGTGTAAGAGTCTGTATGTAAGAGTTATGGTTCCTAGTGTGTGTGCATAACGTGTGTGCATAACATGCTGTTCCGCCGAAACATGGCTGAAATATTGCCGACTCGGCGTTAAACAATAAACAATCAATCATAACATGCTGTTAATAAAGTTTTTAAAAGGATTAAATTCGTACATTCTTCACCGATGCGCATGAATAATGTCTGCAATCCAGTTTTCCATAACCTGAAACCTGCGAAATCCCAATTGTTCACCATAAAATCTGCAGGAGATCATGGATATCATATTTGTAACGTTCCGCTACTGGAGAACTTTGATGAGCCGCCTCCCCTCACCATACTTGCAGATTTTTTTAAATAAAAGTTTCTGAACTAATTATAAGTTTTGTTGTTGCTCTGGCTACTTTGAATATGTTTCCTCCGTCTGAACTTTCAGTGATGGACATGGGATTCTATTTAAGCTTTTCCTTATCTCCAGGATATTTACTGGCTCTGGTTTCAATACTTTGTCTCTGTACATATTTCCATACGGAAATATTAATTTCTCTCCCACAAATCTTGTCATTACCTTCTTCTTCTAATACTGATTACTAGTATCTCCTAAAGTTTCTTTCGTTTTTTTTTTTTCTATGGGTCTCTATGGCGTGACGTAAAATGGTAAATCAGGTCATTTGGTTGCGCGGAATGGTCAGACGCTTCACGATCTCTTTCGTTCAGTTCTCTTTACGCTTGGAGAATTTTTCCCTATCCATTAATTTTCCCATTCTACCAGTAATTATTCGAAATCTCCCTGGAGGTTTTGGTCTAGTTCCGTGAATATTTGCAAAAGTAGTTCCATTCCAAAATGCTGCTTTATGAGTTGTGGAATTTTCTTAAATAAATTTTTCCTCATTGTCTTCTGGAATTTTGTGAATAAGAATATTGTGATTCATTGTCTTTTACTCTTAATCTATAATTCAGATTGCTGATTTCTGACTGTTCTATCTTTAGTAATGAACACCCATTTTAACATAGTTATCGGTATCTTCTCTTAGTATCTTGTTCTCCTATTGAAGCAATTGGATATTGTTGATGTTCTCCTCCTGTTGTTGAGCAACGTGAGATATGCGAAAATCAATTCCATCTTCCTCCCATAGATCTTTCCTTATATTACTAATCACGGACCTTATCTGTGTTTACCCTTCAATTGCTTTAGAAGATTCCCTTAGTCTTATCTGTTCTTATATTTGACATAAAACATTTACATCCAGTATTAAAAACCTTACAAATTGAAGAAGTTCTCTCTTTTTTATGAACCATTGAAAAAAAATTGTTTTGATGTGCCATGTACCATATATAAATTTGTTATTAGTATTCCTTTTTTTTATTGAAAAAATAGTTTTAAAAAAAGATAACTCTTCCTGATGGATGTTTTCTTTTCTTACAAGCACATTAAACATTTTTATATTTCTAATATGATTTAAAAATGTAAGACACTAAATATTATCATTATATGCACCTCATATTTTTAAGTTTATGTTGTGAAAATATATTATTACTCCTCTGATTTTCCGTGTTTAATGTCTTCATATGGTCTGACTTAAAAACCATTTCTAAAAAAATAAGCAGCTCTTCGTACCTCATACTATTTTTATTTAAATCTAAAGCTATAGCTCTTGATGAAAATCAATGTTTAAAAAAAATGAGAACAAAGGGTCATAACACCTTAACATTCTGCTAAATAAAGGCAATTATTGTGGCAGAACAAAATGCATTTCGACATTATAGACATTTGCTTCCTGAATGAAAAAAAACCTCGTAAATTTTCATATCTTGTGATATTTCTTATATACTAATAAGATAACAATTCAACGAAATTTTATCCTCACGAAAATTTGTGCTTCTTCAGTATTCTAGTCATGATTATTTTCAATGACTTGCCGATTTAATTATTGGTAAAATCTTTATGAAACAGAAAACAATTTTACTAATTTCAAGTGTTTTATTCTATAAGCGTTTAAATCACACGAGTGTATGCCTCAGATTCTGCTAGGTTTGCTCCCTAGAGCAGTCCCACAGCGGTCCCAGAGCAGTCTCACAGAAGTCCTAGAGCAGTCCTCGGGATTGCCTTCTGGGACTGCTTGGGTGTCAAGTTGGGTCTGGTTGGTACTGTACATGCATGTACTCTGAAGTTGATAATAAAAAGATCCTGGAATTCCCAATTAACACAACCTGTGTAGTCTTTGGGAGCCAGATTTTCCAACAATCTGTTTGAATTCTGATGGGCACTCTTTGTTTTTCTTTATTAGCCGACCTGTGTTTATACTCTCATGAAGGAGAATTTATTCAAAAACTTCTTCATGAGAAAATGAAAACTGTAGCTGTGGCCTTCAGCTTAACATTTAGTTATATAGACGACGTTTATCAATAAACAATAGCCTCTGGCTTGTGCACCATGTGTCAAACCCTGACTACTATTTAGGCATAGTTCATACAAATCACAACCCTATTATATGACAAGATTACTTTAATTATTCCGTGGTCTACTTTCCTTATTTAATATGAAATCGCTAATTTTCATAGGGATTAATTTTTGCAGGGATATAATTTTCGTTGTTTTCGAGGTATTAGAAAGAACTTCTCCATCCACGAAATCAAATCACCAATAAACCTGTATTTTTCCCTCAAACCACGAAAATGTTATCCCATGAAAATGTGTGATTTCACAGTATATAGAAATATTCCAGCATCACCTGAATATTGTGTTTATGCCTCCCAACTGACTGGATACGTAAGAGCTAGCTGCAGAACTGAAGCTTAGCTCTCTGCTTGAGAAAATTCGGACAGATAAAGCAGAGTGCTACAGATCCAAGCGTTGTTAAAACCATCGATTTACACCGCCGCTTCTTTTTTCGCTCGCTTCTCTTTTTATTTCTTATATTTAATGCTTTCCCCCTCTTTAAGAATGGTATCCGATAATTAACCGTAATTTTATTCCTATTCTTGATACTTTATTTTACTTTCAATTGTCCCAAATAGCGCTGTGAAATATCGGTTTAAAATATTCCTATCCAGATGTCCATGTTGGGGGTCTTTCAAAGAACATACACTTGCCAAGAAAATGTAAATAAAAATTTAGGAGGTTCAAATATGATGCATATTGTCTATAAAGAAGACAATATGTATGTAAAAATAAGAAATGAGATACTAATAATTAAAACTCCGGCGTGTTATTTGAGGATGAACATGGACATTTAAATGCATTTTTAACTTATACTCCAAAACCATATACGGCCGTTTGGAAACGTTGAAAGATAAAGTATCAGAAACGGGAGTAATATATATGGTTAATTATCGATACCAATCTTAAAGCAGAGGAAAGCATAAAATACAAGAAATAATACACAAAGCGAGAGACAAAAAAGCGGCGGCGTAAATCGAAGGTTTTTACAACGCTTGGATCTGTAGCTCTCTGTTTTATCTGTCCGAATTCTCTCAAGCAGAGAGCTACCGCTCTGCAGCTTCGTAAGAGCATATTCTGAAAACGATCAATTTTTAAATCAAGGCCAGCTAATGATAAATAAGTCGATGTTACAAGGATTTCTACAACCCTGTTGTCAATGTAATGAATTTCGTTTTGTTTTTGTTGATTAATGTCCTTTTCGAGAATTTTTCACTCATGTGGAGACGCCACCACTTGCCGGTGGAGAGCTGCAAATTTTGACCTATGATCGGCACTCAGGGCCATTGAGCAGTGAGGGATCTTTTTCGTGCCAGCACCTAATGCGACACGGGACCTCGGTTTATACGGTCTCATCCGAAGGACCGGTATCCACGTCCCAAAGTGGGATTCGAACCCGCGATGTAAGGATCAACTCCTTACACCGCGAGTCTAGAGCAGACGCTCTACCACTGCGCCACGCGGGCGACTAATGAATTTTGTGCAGTATCAGAGGGGAACGGGATGGTTGCGTGTAGATTTAAGGGGAGGAGACGAAACATCTTATAGCATTTTTAGTGTTTATGAGTGTGCTCTGTAAACTATATTGAAATTGCCTTTGGACGCCCTCACTTCAGGAAAGTTGACCCCTCTCAAACTATTGAAAAAGTTCTCCATAGAATGTACTTTGATGTGATTTTTAAAGCTCAATTTTTTTATTACTGGATATTACTTCTTTTCATAGGAAAACTTCCTGAATCCACCCAGTAGAAGATGTAAATGAAGTTGCAGATTGAAAATGATATACGTTTCTTTTATTGTACACAGATTTTATTTTCAGTGATGCCTCAGAGACCACTTATTTCCTCTCTCTTTGTAACTAAGGAGAACCAGCAGTTGACGGTGAGTTGTTCATCCAGTGGGAGCCGCCCAGCAGCAACCCTATCCTGGAGGTTTAGAGGATCTTCATTACCAGCAACAACTACTTTTCCACCTATGTTAGATACTTTGACACACACCTACACTGTAAGCTCAACCCTAACTGTTACAGTGAACCGAGGAGATAATGGAAGAAACGTTACATGCATCGCTTCTAACATTGCGTTATCAGCTGGAACTCAGTCAAAGCAAGTTGTTTCCATCCACTGTAAGTAAACAATGTTATCATCTTTCAAACCCAGACAAGAGGCCCATGGGCCACACCGCCAACCTGAGTCATCAAATCCCCGTTGTTCTTTAGAACAGTTGCATGCCCAACCCTACTCCGTGGACCATGGTATGAACCAACTTGAATCTACATCCCTGAAGATGGCCCTAATTAAAATTGCTAATCAAGATTATACTGTTCTGTACATTTTTTTTACTCTACATTTACGTTTTGTCGGATCCAAGAACCAAACGGTTTGCCTAAGGCCCTCAGGCCGAAGGCAAACAATTTGTTTCGAGGGTTCGGCAAAATGCATGGTGCCCTCGAACCTATTCAATGAATGTTTTGTTATACCTTTTATTTTTTTTATTATAAATTATCTTGCGCTGGTTTCAATGTTTGTAGTGGAAATGAAAAATTTTGATGTAAATTACGTTTAGCCGAACTGCGGTTTTAACGTGGTCCATTATTTAAGTGTCTTACATCAAGGAATACATATAAGATATAGCTGATCCTGCCTAGCATGAGTTTAAAAAACGTCATAGCTGTTCAACATCTTATCGACAAATCTAAAATCTCACTAAGCCATCCCAAATCGATTTTTTGACCGCTCAGAGTGATAAAGAATTTTTTTTTAAACTATAACAAAAACTTTTTTTTTCTTTAACACCCGAATTCTACCGTTAATCCACGGCACATATACATGTACTTTCAGGTTCCTGATTTTTTATTTAATATTATTCAGGGCCTTTTTGTTTTTGAGATCATCTTTATATATATATATTAGATAGATTACATGATCAGTACGTACTGGTCCCTGCTTACAAAGCAGGTAACAACATTGTCTTTGTTTGTAAGGCTCATTATATTAAATGTATTTTAGAGGAACTTGGATTTAATTCTACAAGTGGTAATCCAACTTATACTCATAGTTCCCTTTCTAAGGAAGAAATTCTTCAAAATCATATGTCAGTTTTGAATATTTTTAATATTCCAAACAACCAAAATGAATTCGAATTACCATATCTATATTGGATTCCGAAACTTCATAAAAATCCTTACAAACAAAGATACATAGCGGGTTCCAGTAAATGTTCAACGAAGCCTCTATCTTTACTCCTCACTAAGATATTAACAATGGTGAAGGAGAAACTTCAAGAGTACTGTGCAACAATATATTCGAGAAGTGATGTAAATCAGATGTGGATACTTATTGGAACTTTTGGAAAATTTGAAATCACAAGATTTTACCAAAATCAACAGCTTAAAAACTTACGACTTTTCAACTTTATACACAACCATTCCCCACGATAAATTAAAGTCCAGGCTTTTTGATATCATTGACAGCTGCTTTTTCAATAAAAATGGAACTCGTAAATATACTTACCTTGTCATTGGTCATTTGCAAAATTATTTTGTTAAAAAACTTTCTGATTGTACACACAAGTACTCTGAAGTTGATATTAAAAAGATGCTTGAGTTTCTGATTGACAATATCTATGTGGTTTTTGGAGACCAGGTCTTCCAACAATCTATTGGAATTTCTATGGGTACCAATTGCACCCCGTTATTAGCAGACCTTTTTTTGTATTCATATGAAGCAGAATTTGTCCAAAATCTTGTACGTGAAAAGAAGAAAACACTTGCTGTGGCGTTCAACTCGACATTTAGTTATATCGACGACGTATTGTCAATTAACAGTGGCTATTTTCATTCTTATGTCGATACGATATATCCTGGTGAACTTGAGATAAAAGATGCCACAGAGTCTGACACATCTGTTTCATATTTGGATATTTTACTTGAAAAAGACGTTAATGGTAATCTAACAACCAAGCTTTATGATAAACGTGATGACTTTAACTTTTCAATCGTCAACTTCCCTTACTTATGCAGCAATATACCTTCATCACCTGCATACGGGGTATATATCTCTCAGTTGATTCGATACGCAAGAGCATGCTCTACCTATGTATAATTTCTAAAACGAGGTAAATTATTGACAAATAAGTTGATGAAACAAGAATATCAGCTGTCTCGTTTAAAGTCATCATTTCGTAAGTTCTATGGTCGATACAATGACCTTGTCAGCAAATACAATTTATCACTGAGTCAAATGCTGACTGACGTTTTTCATACAAATTGTTAGGCCATTATTTACACAATGAATTGTCAGCGGATTTTTCCGTTATTTCCCGATCATGACAAGGAGGACACGGCGGGTGTGACCGGTCGGCAGGGGATGCTCACTCCTCCATGGCACCTGATCCCACCTCTGATGTTTGGAGGTCCGTGTTTGCTCTGCTCCTATTTTGTATTGTATAATGAACTTTTGAGCTTGAATACTGTTCGTTATCTCCATATATTTCATATATATATATATATATATATATATATATATATATATATATATATATATATATAAAACTAATGTCCAAATAACTGTATCTCACTTCCATTCTCAATGACCGTGTAGTGTAGGGCAGCTCCGCGAGAATTCCATCGGCATCGAAAGCAAGTTTTATGACTTGCCTAGATAGCCGAGCGGTCTAGCGCGCTGTTCCTGTACTGCTAGGAGACAGATTCCGTAGGTCGAGAATTCAACCCCGGGCTGGGGCGGAAGTGGGTATCCTTGTAGAAGTGAATTTCTTTGTGCTTTCTATATATATATATATATATATATATATATATATATATATATATATATATATATATATATATATATATATATATATATATATATATTCTTGTATATACCTATGAAACTTTGATCCCCTAGTATACTCCCATCTTAACCTAGGGGTCATGGTTAACAAACATCTATCTAAACACCATAAGAATATTTGCATCGTTTTTACAAATTTGTTTTTAATTTACAAGAATTTAAAAAAAGGTCCTTTCCCTATTATTACCATGTAAAGTTTTGATCTTATATTTAGGCCCCATCTTACCCCTAAGGACCAAAATTTGAACCTACTGAAATATACTCTGTTTGAGGATATTTCTTTCATCAAAGAATCATTTTTGCAAGTTTACTTGAAATTGGCGCGTTATTCCTGGAGAATCTACATGAAAAATTTTCAGATAGCTAGACGGACAGACAATCAAACGGACAGACCGACGGTCGCTCGACAAAATTTGATCAGAAAGAGCTCACTTGAGGTTTCAGCTCAGAAGATCTTTAAACGAAATATGAAATCAAATAAGTGAATAATATAGATATATATAGGGTGTCCTTTGCAAGTCCGTAAGCGGAAGCGTAATAAGAACGTAATAATTTCCAAACACCTTAAAATATGCGAAAATATTATTTTTATTGAAATAATTTTTAATGATATTATCAAAATGCACTATTCATTAGATTTAAATGAATATCTAACAATACCTACTTATTCGTGAAGCTTTTTTTATCATTAAAAATTTTGCCACCAAAAATTCATTATTTAAAAATTTCACTCCTGTTGAACAAAAAAAATTCGTCTGACACTTGTAGTTTTATACGAAATATTAAGCAAATGAAATTTAGAAATAAAAAATACTTTAAAAAAGGGGGTGAGTTCTTTTTCAAAATTTTGGAAGATTTCAAATTTTTAACAAAATGCCTTTCGCTTCCATGGTGAAGGCAAGATATTTTGAAAAATTTTAATATGGTATGCATAATTACGTATACACCTCGTGAGTGTCATCACTGTTAGTTTCATTAAGATTGTTTAAGCCATCTTTAAGAAATACTGCTGACAAAAAAGGTGAAACAGTAAAAAATTATAATAAGGCAGATATATGTTGAAAATTATTTTGTCACTAAGATTCTACAAAAATAATGAAAATAAAATAAGCTACAGAGTTTCATCAAATGAATTTAATGCAAGTTTTATAAGAGCTTATTCATTATCATTATTATTAATATCTTCATAATTATTCATTATTATAACTTACTTATTCTGCATAACTTTTATCTTACCCCTTGTGAAATCTTTCAATTTACCTCTAACCGGTATTCAACTCTCAGGAAAAAACAATATTTTTCTTTTATTTTTTTCTTTGAAATAAATGAATTCAATATAAACCACATTTCAGGAACACGCTTTTTTTCTTATTTTTTAAATCACAAAAATCCTCTTTACGCATTATTTACTCACTTATTTCTGTACATTTCTCTCTTAGGAATATAATCCAAATTCTAATTTATCAGAAACTATTATTCCGTTTTCTAGTTGGCCCAGACAGAATCGGCTTTGATGGGACTACTGGACTGCAGGAGAACAGTGCAATGAATTTGAGATGTACAGCTGATGAATCAAACAATGCATCAATTATTTCATGGAGAAATAACTCGTCTCCTCTGTCTGTTAACACTGCAGTATCCACATCTGCTGGAATATACAATGGAGTAAGGACATCTCAAACTTATACAAAAGTATTGTCACGTCATGATCACCGTTCTGTCATCACCTGCACAGCTAGTAATGGTGACAATGTGGCAAATAATTCTACTACTCTTGATGTTAAGTGTAAGTGCCGAAGACTAAAAAAGTATTGATTTTTTTATATATATTTGAATAATTCTTATTTCTTTGATTGGCTGAGATCCAACACTGTAGAAAATGTAGAAAAATACTACGTTTTTTTTCAACTGCATTAAATTTTTCTACATTGGACTAAAACGATATTGGGAAATTCAGAAGTGAACATAAAGTTATTTCACTTGCACCTGACTTTCACTGAGGTGAACATATCATTCAGGCACATAGGATCTGGGATGAGGAGTGGTGTAGAGGGGGGAGGGGGTTGTAGTGGACCTGCCCCCTTCCGCAAATTTTTTTTTTCTGAACGTAAATTTTTACTTTTAATGAACTATAAAATGTTCATTAAAGAGCTTGTGCCCCTAGGTTTATGGACCTTAACACCCTAACACTTACCCATTTCCACTATCAAAATAAAATTTGTTATATTCTCCCTCACTTCGTTCGTCCGAATATAAATCAATGAAGTGCTAAATGAATAAAACACAACACATATTAAGTAGGAACGCTGCTCGCTAGTGCTTTTATTCAATTATATACTGTTAACACATAACCATAACACATTAACTAATACAACTGTATAGCCCAAATTCATTGCACTCCATTGCATCACTATCAGCCATACTAATTTCTAAATCCTAGCGAGCGAGCTTAGAGTGTCGTGCTACCGCATGGCCTTACTATTTATACCTATATAACCACGTGACTTTCAAAGAAACTTTTCGAACACACTACATAATACCATGCCGCACATAATTTTAAGAGAATTCTCATCATATTTGGGGAGTGGGTGGGTAGTTAAAGTTTTTTTTTCAATAAGTTGTGAATTTAATTTTTGTTATCCTGCGACTACCCCTTACATTGACCTAATAAAGGTAACCTAATAAACTAAAGCTTTATTCAGACAATACCCTAATAAAGCCTCGTGCATGTATTCCGACGTTCTAAATGCATTGTGACGTTATAAACATTGCAATGTTTACGCCGTGTCTTCTTAGTTTCAACTGTAGAGATATACCTAAATCGGTTGAAAATAGCTCGTTGTGGAGGTCTTATGTAAAATATATTGCAGGATAAACAAAATACATGGATACTGTCTTGAAATATATGCAATATTTGGGCTCGGGTCGAAAACGTGAAAGAGGGCTCGGCAAGCCTCGCCCTCTATCACGTTTTCTTACCCTCGCCCAAATATAGACAGTAGCCTTGTATTTTATATTCATAATGCCCTAACCCCTTTTTCTTAAAAATCGATCCTATTTACGTGCCTGACATATATTTTTTTTCTCTAAATTTAACAATTCCAAATACAATAAAACTCGGTTATAACGAAGTCAACTGGACCCGTGAAATAACTTCGCTATATCCGTAATTCGTTATATCCGTATAAGAAACTTGTTAGATTTATATAGCTGGGGATCAAAGAAAACTTCGCTATATCCGTGAATTCGCAATATCCGTGTTCGTACTAAACAAGTGTTACTGTAAATACAACGGTTTATGTTAATTTTATCCCAGTTTCTCTGACTGCATTTGGCTAGGACTTCAGGAAATTAATGTAAAAAGTAGTAAAAAGTAAGATGGCATGGATTTCTAAATGAGTTTGCATCATTTAATCATAGTGAATTATATAATGAAACAATTATTCCTGTTTTTCTCAGTCAATAAGATGACTTAGCCAACCTTCGAAGTACAACATTGTACTCCTCAGGTGCCTAACTCATCGTATTGATCTCAAAAACAGCAATTATAATTGTATAATGTTTTGTACACCTTTATAATGTTGTCAAGTATTTCAGAATGTTAATTGTAAACACTTGTCTTTCATTATACATATTTCTTTATATATTTTAGACTCCCCTCGGGTTAGTCTATCACCATCCAATTTAATGGTTGTTGTAGGACAAAGAGATGTAATACTACAGTGTACCTTGCTAGAAGCAAATCCACAGCAGGTATCTTATACGTGGAACCCAGCCACATCTACATCTAATGTCCTTAAGATAACTGAAATTACGAAAGTACACGAGGGGCAGTACGAGTGTGAAGCAGAAAACACTGTTGGTAGATCTCCAATAGCCAGGACTCAAATAACTGTTCAATGTAAGTATTTATATACTGGGCAAATCTATTAAAACAAACACTATATAAATCAATTACAATGTTAACCAATAAATATCGTATCATCAATGGAAAACATAATCGAGCAATTGTAAGAGAAGATACTAAAGATGGACACTTGTTGTTCCACCATAAAATTTCGCATTAATGGACAAGCAAACATCCACTACCTGTAATAATGATGACAGTTAAAAATTCAAGAAGTATTAACAGTATATGTAGCATCAAAGAGAATGTGATAATTATATTTTATATAGGCCGATGTATATCAACATGATTAATAAGATCAGGAAAAAGTTGAAGAAAATGAACAGTGATCTATCTAAAAAAAAAAAAACATTAACAATACAAATATTTGAAGAGGGCATACAATACTCTCATTTAGATCTTTCCGCTTCACTTGTACAAAAACTCTACTTTCTCCACATTTTCTCTCCCTGCATTACTGACTGTTCATCATTTTTCCATTTCCTATGAACTAGTCGGCCAAATTTAATCTTGCCTTACAGAATAGAAATGGAGAAGAACATAAAAGAGCTATTTAAAGAATATAATTCCAATCTCATAAGCATATTCAACAATCAAGCCTTCTGAATGATTTATAAGCCACAGGCACAAATTTTAACACTTCGATAAAGAAACGAAAGCTGGAACTACATTTTTGACCCATATCTAATGTAAACAATATGGCCGACAATATGTTGTCGTAACTTGTTGGGGAAAACTGATTGTTGATAAAAAAAAAGAGGAATTTTTAAAGTTTTTTTTGATTAAAAACATTTTAAATTCAACAGTTTTAACTTTCCTGATCATGAGAAACTTAAATTAAATTTAATATATCTGTAAATATAACGTCTGCTTGGATTACCTATCAAGGGGGGCTAGGCTTTGGCAGTAGAATCTAAAGCTATAAAATCTTCAGATGGTGAAGAAACCTTTGAAAGGCTTTTGGTAGATTTTCAATAGTTTATACCACCGGAAATAATTGATGAATCGGAGGTTTTAACACTTCTGGAGGTCCTAAAAGAAGATTTTGAGGGTTTTGATGGCATGCTCCTGGAGGCATTACAACAGCAAAACCAGACAGAAGAGCACTTTGAATCAAATGTCACAATGGCAGAACCAGAACCCATTCAAAATCCTGTTTCACCTAAGGAGACTCTGAAAGAAGAAAAATCTGGATTCAAATGCCTTTCAGAAAACGATTTACAAGAAATAGAGAGAAACCAGTACTCAGAAGCCACCAAAAGGAACACAAAATGGGGAGTTTGTGTCTTTAATGGTAATGCTTACTTTGATACTTCTATAAAATCACTATAAAGTTCATTCAGCAGCAATATCACATATCTACCCACAGCAATGGTCAGTTTTGACATTTTGAATAACAATCAAAACATGATCATGCCAGAAATAGGTATAGAATGAATCATTAACCTGTATAGTTATTTTGAAAATAAAACAAAACTAGTAAAAACAAAAAACAGTACAAACGTGTTAATTTAAAATATGTGAAAATATAAAATAAATATCAAAATGTAGTTGTATTATTGTAAACAAACATGCATGAATTACAAAATATCAAAAATACTTATGTTGTGTATTGTAAATAAAAGTATCAGTGTATCAAAATAATCTAAAAATTATAATTTTCCAGCTTGGTGTCTGGAGCTACTAAATGAAACACATGATCTAGAGGTTGTTGATGCAAGCACCCTAAATGAAAAATCTCATAAATCGATCGAAAACAACTAAAGAGGAAAAGACACAAGAATATCACAGAAATTCAATGAAAAAAGTGCGAGCTGCAATAAATAGATACTTCAAAGACATAGGAAGAGAAATTGACATAGTAAGAGACAAGGAGTTCAAAACTGCTAATGCGATGCTTAGTTCAAAACTCAAATTTAACTTGCGTCAAGGCCTGTCAAGATCAACCAAGCATCATTTCATTATACCAAACGAGGATCTTGCAAAAATCAACCAGTATATCTTTAATGATAACCTTGTCTCCCTCAGATTTTGCATCAGGTATTTACTGGCAATCCATTTTGTAAGCAGACGCTGCGAGTTTCATCACCAACTAACTATGAAATCCCTGAAGTTTGCGAACGATGAAAATGAGTTAGAGTATGTAACGATAAACCATGAAACGCAACAGAAGAAATACCAGGGTGGGCTAGGTGACAAGTGCGAGGAGGCCTAGGACAAGAGAATGTACGCCACAGGAACATCAGCATGTCCGGTATAATCCCTCAAAAAGTTTATCCAAAAAACTGATCATGACCCAGCAGCTGTGTCACTCATTAATGAATGTGCACGAGATGCTTTACGTTGAGAATCACCTGAATCCTTTTCAGTATGGTATATAGTCACCCTAGTTAAGCTCAAGAAATTCACCACATTCATGCAAAATATCTGCAAGGACGCTGCGACCACTAGATTCACTGCACATTCTCTCCGTTCGACTTCGATCACAGCAATGAGCGACGCAGGTACGTTAAGGCTTCCCAGAGAATATCGCAGTGTACTCTGTGCCGTCACTTCTCTGAACTTCAAATGTATGACGTCATCATTGAAAATGACGTCAAGTCACCGCAAACTTGAGCTGTAATGATGGGGAGAGTGTCATAAACTTTACACCTTATTTCAGTCTGCATATAAAGTGTCAGAAAGGTTATGAAAAATAAACGTTTTAATCTTTCTGAAAAATCTAATATATCCGAATATTTTAGATAACATTGCTTTATTACTCTTGTTGAAAAGTCAGCGTGTTTAAAATATAAACGAAAAATATACGTTTGACATTTACCCTTTTTTATACCCTTGGATAGAAGTAGAATTTATAATATGTGTATAAAAGAGCCTGGCGCAGGTGATTTATGAGGATTTATTTGAGATCTTTTGTGGAAATCTGTAAGAGGAGTTTCCCCTCTAACTGAATCTTGCTTGGGAAAAATGTGTGATGGCTTTGTTTTAATACAGATGACGATATTGAGTGGAAAATACCCTCAAATTTGTCGGTAAGTTGAATTTAACTCTGTTCTTAAAAATGTTGCAAGTGAAGAAAAAACCCAAACATGCGAGTCTGATACCGTCCACTCAAACACAGTCAATCAACAATCAAAGTCTCCAAATAAGCACGCATCTATGTTAAGGCTTCCCGAAGCTTTAAATTGCGCTCAAAACATATTTCATTTCGAGGTCGGTTTTGGTTTTAATTTTTAAGTATTGTACTTTAGTACCTCCAATTTATTTAGAGGGTTCCCTCGGCTATATATTACCATAATTGCTACGATACCACATGGTCGGCCGCGTGGCGCAGTGGTTAGAGCGTCTGCTCTAGAGTCGCCAAGTATGGAGTTGATCCTTACGTCGCGGGTTCGAATCCCACTGTGGGACGTGGAGACCGGTCCTTCGGATGAGACCGTATAAACCAAGGTCACGTGTCGCAGTATTTGCTGGCACGAAAAAGATCCATTACTGCTTAATGGCCTTAAGTGCCGAGAATAGGACAAAATTTGCAGCTCTCCACCGGCAAGTGGTTGCGTCTCCATATGAGTGAAAAATTCTCGAGAGGGACGTTAAACAACATACAAACAAACAAACAAACAACGATATCACATGACTTTGTTGATCACGTGACGGTCATTTATAATTTTTTGAAGTGTTTCCATAAATCGCTTCGGCGCAGCTGATTAACACAATAATTAACATTTTGTTATATAAATAAACTCATCGTATCCTTGTGTACCCGAAATGTGCTTGGGGAAAGTCATAGTTATGGCATGAGAAACGTTGCAATATTCGATCTTTTCCATTTGTATAGTATAATTTTCCGTTTGCATTGTAAAATTTTTATTTGTGTTCTATAATTTTCTATTTGTATTGTATAATTTTTCATTTGTATTGTATAATTTTTATTTGTATTCTATAATTTTCTATTTATTGTATAGTTTTCATTTGTATTGTATAATTTTTATTTGTATTCTATATTTTCCATTTGCATCGTATAATTTCTTATTTGTATTGTAAAATTTCTTTATTTGTATGCGATTTTTCATTTGTTTTGTATCCGCGGATTGTTTATTTGTTTCGTTATGAAGGATTTCATTGGTCAAGTTTCAGCCTTTATCGGGTTGAAGATGTTTCGGGTGCTCAAAGCAAACTGGGCTCATATGTATTTGCTTGTTTGCTTGCTTGATTATTGTTTAACGCGGAGTCGGCAATATTTCAGCTATTTTTCGGCGGCATATGTATTTGCGTGCATGTTAGACGGTCATTAGATTCCAAAAAGGGAGCGCTGGCAGATGGCAAATAAATAATCTGTCCTTAGAAATGTTGACTGAGAAAAAAATAAATTGACCTTGAGTGGTGGTACCTCCCCCCCCCCCCCCCCCCACACACACACACACACACACACAAATGAGTTTTCGGGTTTGGGCAGATTTTCTTCTTTTCCCTTTTCTCCTTGTCTCTGGTCATATTGGAAATAAATATTCTCTCCTGCGAGAGAATGAAAAAAAAATCGGATTCGAACCCCCCCCCCCCCAATCAAATGCTAGCATGCACACAAATAGAGGAGCCGAGTTTGTGTTTGTAGAGAGTGCGCGATCGGAATTGTCGGAAGGGTACCAGACTAAGTTTGTGTGGGCACCTGAGACCTTTATACAGACTAATGACTAATGACATCCTTCGTAACGAAATAAATAAACAATCCTCGGATACAATACAAATGAAAAATTATCGCATACAAATAAGAAATTATATAATGCAAAAAAGAAATTATACGATGCAAATGGAAAATATAGAATACAAATAAACATTATACAATCCAAATGGAAAGTTATAGATTCCAAGTGGAAAATTAAAGAAAACAAATAAAAATTATACAATGCAAATGGAAAATTATACAATACAAATGAAAAATTATACAATACAAATAAAAATTATACAATACAAATGGAAAGTTATACAATACAAAT